AGAGTACCCCGAACACCGGGCAAGATCAACCAAAAAATCGTCAACGTGGAGCAGCTTCGTAGATATAAGGAACTGCTCCTAGAAGTTACGGAACCATCGCCATTGAACGACACGTGCGCCGCGCGCAATTTTCGGGAGCGCCGTGTCAGCGCCACTCGACTTCACACAGCCTGATTCTCAGCCAGCGTCTCTGCGCCCGTACAAGAAACGCCACACTACATAAACCTGGACTCTGTGCCCTGAGCGCGTCCACTCGGCGCGGTTGCCATGAAGCATTGCTTCAACGATTATTCAAAAAGAACAAAAGTCAGCTCGTGAGCTGGTGATGCATAGCAACGCATTGCCAGCGAAGAGAGCGAGCCGAGATACGAGTGGCGTTGGACGTAGCCAATCGAACTCCAGCAACGAATCCTGTTTCCTTCTACATGTAACCACTGCCAATTCACTTGAAACTTTAGTACAATACAGTTTTATTCTTTAAAATCGAACCGTGCCTTAACTCCAACATTCGTCTATCGCTGACAATACATATTGTCACGGGGTCGTGACGCGGACGAATGGAGCACACTGCGAGTCAAATGAACTGTTTATTTGGGCAAACCTGTACCCAGTAAATGAAAGTCGGACTACAGTAGCAGTGTTGGACTGATACAAAGAGAAGTTTATTAACTTCAAACTATAAAAAACTCTTTACATCATTTTATACATACAGTGCTCGTTTAGACACCCCTCTTTTGCACTAAGGGGAATACAAACTCCATTATCCATAGAGGAAACTAGCGGCACATACACAGATATATATATATATATATATATATATATATATATATATATATATATACAAGTTTGTGCTAAACTATGCATACATTCATAAAAAAACCACATATATATATATATATATATATATATATATATATATATATATATATATATTTACAATACTTCGACTGGCGCTATACATACACTTGTAACACAATTTTTTGGGGAGAAGGGGTTAGTAGGGGATTATGGGGGTACGGAGTTTCGCACCTCTGACGAAAAAAAACTTTGTGTGCCAGCGGCGAAGGAACTGGTCCTTCCCGCCAGCTTCCAGTTGCTTGGCCAAGTACTGCACTATTTTCTGCCTGATCATGGCTAGTGCTGGGTAGGCCGCTCTCACTGGGGTGTTCTTTACCTCAGCAAGGCACCGGCGTTTCCAAATCACAAAGAGTGTGATGGCAATTACCAGCCTTACGAAGCAGCCCCTATTCCTTTCGAGGGCCGGGGATGGGCGGATGCTGAAGCACCTCGCAACCAGGTGCCATACCGACTTGGCCGCCCCGCATTCTAACAACGCGTGGGAGATCGTTTCCTCAGCGCGGTAATTAGGACACTGGCTATTCGGCGTGATGCCGAACCGGTGCAGGCGATGTCTCGTGGGCAAAACTTGCCACTTGCGCTTCCACTCGAAGTCATGTACTTCGCACGGTCGGTACTTATTGCTTGTTTGTTTGCATATTCCTAGGCTTTTGATCTGCTTCTTTTCTTCTTCGGACAACTGGTTTTCTGTTATCGCTTCGACGATTCGGGCGGGAGAGCCCTTGTCAATGTCGCAGTTCGGAGCTTCTTTTTCTATGATCTTTGTCGTAGTTGCCGCCATCCTGTAAAAGTGTGAGGGCGCTTCTGGGCGCGGGCCAGTGTGTTTGTGGTTTTTTAGATAGTGCGTGATGGTGCTTGTCCAGTAGTTGATTAGATTCTTCCCAACGCAACTCGCTGCGTAATAAAGCATGCGGGTAATCTTGAGGGCCACTATCTGGCTGGTCATTTGTACGTGTGGAAGGCTGGGGCCACCTTTGTCCTCGGGTAGTTGAAGGAGGTGTCGCTTGACTGGTGCCGGTTTCCCTTTCCATAGCAAATAGATGATCACGGCGTTCAGTTGGCTCGCGGTTTTCCTAGGGATCACCGCTACCCTACTGGTGTAGAACGCGAACGCGCAAACGGTGGTCTTTGCTGCCAGCGTTTTTTCACGTAACGTGAGGTTTAGGAGGCGAATGCGGTCGGCTGCCTGCTTTGCCCTCTCGAGGGCTCTTTGCCACGTGACTGGTGCCACCCCTTCACTGGAGAAGTAGATTCCCAGTACTTTAACGATGGACACCACTTCGATGTTTCCTAGGGCTTCTCTGGGGAAAGTTCCATATAGCATGGCCTTGCTCTTGTCCGCATTTATCGCCGCTCCGGATGCCTGCGCGTATCTTGTGAACGTCGCACTGAAGGCTTGGAGGCTAATTTCATCCCGAACAAACAGGGAAATGTCGTCCGCGCATGCCAGCACTTTCACTTGCTCCTGGCCCGTCAGTGGGAAGCCCCGAATGCCTTCATGCGCAATAACACTTGTGATCAGCGGCTCGCACGACATGACAAAAAAGGTCGGGCCCAATGGGCATCCTTGCCATATGCCTCTGCTATACTTGAATGCCGGCGTTGCGACTCCGTTTATCACAACGGTGCAGGTTAGGTCCTCGTACAAAGATTTTGCCAGTTTTATAAAACTTGCCGGTAAGCCAAACTCCTGCATCACGTCGAAGAGGTAATGGTGTCGTACCCTGTCAAAAGCTTTAGCCTGGTCTAGGAAAATGAAAACACCATGGAAACCTCTTGTCATCGCGTATTCGAAAGAGTCACGGATCACTGTGAGGTTCGCAAAAAGCGACCTTCCTGGAATCGCGCACGTTTGGTACGAGCTAATGATGTCCGGTAACAGGAGCTTGAGTCTGTTGTTCAGTATAGTGGCTACCAGCTTGTAATCGGTGTTCAAAAGCGTGATTGGACGCCACGCCGTGGGCTCGTTTGGTTGTGCCCCCTCTTTCTGTAGTAGGACAGTTTTACCAACTCCGAAGGAGTCGGGTTTCTTAAAGGACCTGAAGATTGCATTCACCATCGCGAGCAAGGGTTCTTCGAGAACTTCGAGAAAACTCACATAGAAGGCTGCAGTCAGACCATCAGCACCTGGGGCAGAATTGGGGGTCATGCTTCTTATGGCTTCGCGAAGCTCTTCAGCGCTAAGGGTTGCTGGCTCCTCCTCCTCCTTAATTCGTTGCAGATGTTTGCAAAGTTCTTTGACATGGTCGGGTCCCCGATTGGTGTCTATTGGTTCGGTGTCTTGGAACTGTATGCTGAAGTACTTTCTGAAGATGTTCTCAATTTCTGCTGGCTCTTCAGTTACAGAACCGTCTAAGCGCTTTGCCTCCGTAATTTGCAAACAGCCATTTCCACGTACTTCCCTCACATCAACTCCGGTCGCAATGCCCAACAGTCCATGTTCACTTCTACGTCGCCTCATGGTATCTCTGAGGAGTTGGTTGTATTGCTCCTCGAGCGAGGTCAGGTACTCTGTTGTACATGAGGTCAACGTGTCGGCTGCCTTAATGATCTGCATTCGGCGAAGAAGTTCTTTCATCGTTTGTGTATGACGTCTTTTTCTGGCTTTGCCTTCTTTTTGTAACAGGGCCTTCCATTCTTCCTTAAGTTTATCCCACAGAGGGGGGTAATATGTCCGGCATTTTCTACTGATGCGCTGATGGCAGCTTTCAAGTTTTCTATGCAAGTCTCATCTCTCAGCAGCTCAGCATCTATTCTCCAGCTATTGTTATCAAAGTGCGGGCCGGGGGATCCCTTTACCATCGTGACGAGCGGGGCGTGATCCGTCTTCTCTTTCAGGTTGGCCGGGAGCGCGAGTACTTCGCATTCTTCAACCAAAGGGAGGAGGAGGTCCGGAAAGTACATCCGGTCTATTCTACTTCCTGCTGATCTAGAGGTACGGGTTGCTACGAATCGGTCTTTATGGAGGTGTACCCATATGTCCGAGAGGTTTAGGTGCCGAAGGGTTTTCACCAACTCTTTTGCATTGTAGATTGATCTTCCTTGGCTTGGCCCCCTCACGTCCCGGTTAGAATCTACCACGCAATTAAAATCACCGACCAGTACGTGGAGAATGGGCTCTAGGAGGAGTTCGTGCATCTCTTGAAAGAAGTTATTCGTATCTTTTCTTGTCACGGGGGCATAGACGTTCACAATGCGTATCTTTTTGCCTTCGATGAAATTGTCAATCATTATGTACCGGCCATTCACCCCGAAAATGCAATGGGATTTTGATCGAAATTTGCCTGATACGAATATTACTCCGACCCCGCATGCTCTCGTGGTCGCCAGAGAGAAAAAGGCGTCGGTCTGATGATCTCGGCGGAAATTAACCACATCCAGCGGCGTTCGGAAATTCGCCTCTTGAATAAAGAGGAGGTCTATGTTCTGGTTCCTAGCGAAACCTAGGATGGCTGATTGTTTCGCCCTATCTCTAAACCCTCGGATATTCCACGTAGCCAATTTCAAAAAGGCCATCAAAAACCTTAAAAAGAAGAAAACAAAATGCGGGAAGTATCGAGCTAGCAAGCAGCGTGGCTGTCATCCGCCGATTGGGCGCGATGCCAAGCGCTGGAGGGGAGAAGGAAAGAAAGGTGAGCGAATGCACCGAGCAAGATAGGCGACAGCCGCGTGCTGACAGAAAGGGGCGAGGAGGGTGCTGCACCAGAAGGAGAAGGGAAGGCAAGTGGGACGTAGTGCGGCCAGAGCGAATGAGAGTAAGGGAAAAGGACCGTGAAGCCGACAGGGCAGGTGCGCCGCTTCAGTGACGTGCGTCTCGGGGCTTGGGGGGTGGTTCCCCTTTGCCTACACCGTTTTTCTCAAGCTTCTGAGCCTTAGCGTGTGGTGGAGCATCGCTATCACTGTTTTGACCTGCTGGCCCGGGTCTACGCTGCCGCGCCTCCTTGCTGGCTGCCCTCTCACCCAGATACCGCTTATCGTCATCAGGGCGTCTTCGTGAGCGCGAGCGAGCTCTCTGCTCTAGCCCAGTGGCCATGTGTCCAGTTTTCGCGTCCGATTTCGGGCTTGGGCGTGCCGAATGGGAGGCGGGGGAGGAAGTCGATGCAGCATGGTCGCATTCGCTGTCACCGGGTAGAAAGTAATACCCTTTACTTTTTATGGGGGCGTTGTCGCCGGCTGGGTCTCGGGTACCGGCCTCCAAGGCCAGGCTGGTCACTAGGGCCCGGACGTTGACGGGTGTGTGGGATACAGCGAGGAGGGCCTCTTCCTGCTCGTTGGACTCGGGGGTCGCTTCAGCCACGGTCAACGAATTCCCACAGTCATCCCGGCTCGCCGAGGGTGGAGGCGGCTTAGGGGGGGATGATTGCGACGAACCCGTCTCGATATCGCTCGACTTTGTTTCGGTCGACCTGGTGGTAGTCTCGTCAAAACTCCCGGGCCTCTCCCCCTCACTGGCGGACGGATCGCCCATGCCACTGCCTGAAGTCAGATCGGAAGTCGTGGTCCCCGGAAGGGGATCCCCCCTCGGTTGTGGGGGATGCGGACTTGGACGTAAGGACCTGCATACGCGACGAGTTGCTCGGGCAGAGGTGGGGTCGCTTGACTGAGAGTGTGACGAAGCGGATTCAGATAGCGAGGGGAAGCCGCGGGCGGCCGAAGCGTATGAGCGCTTACGAAAGCACTCGCGTGTTCCGTGGTGACCCCCGCAACGTTTACAGTCTGCCGAGCAGCCCTCAGTATCGTGGCCGAAGGTGCCGCACCGCTTACAGTACGCCGTGGTGCACGCAGTCGCCATATGCCCAACTTCACCTCAACGCACGCACACCCGGCGCATGTCTCTGTACTCGCACATGACTTTGTGCCCCGCAATAATGATGAAGTTGGGGACTGGGCGGCACATCTCAATTTTAACCACACGTACCCCGTTTAACTTGGTCTGGCGAGTGGCTAGGGTGGCGAACGTAATGCCCTTCACTTTACCAAACTGGGCTAAGGCGTTGCTAAGGGCCTCGTCTGATAGAAAAGCGGGGTAACGGTAAACGTTCACATATGTAACCGGCGGCCCGACGGCCTCTACTGGCACCCTCGCCCCGTTCACTTCAAATCCTTCCGCCACCATTAGCCTCGTCGCCTGGCCAGCATTGCGGGTGCATACAAGAAACTTTGCGCCCCCCATATGTTGCAGTACTATTACGCTGTCGTCACCAGCTGTCTCTTCAATTGCGTCAATTGACTCATCGACAGAGATATCGCCCTCGGGCGCGGAAAACATGAAACAATTCTCCCTCACCAGGAGCTCAAATGGCGTGGCCATTCTGGTGGGCGGACCCCGCAAGCCGCCGGTTGGGCGTGGCTTGTGGGTGACTTGTAACGTGCAGTCGAGCTGCACTCTGGTAGGACGCGGCTCAGCCTAGGTGGGCGCCGCGCAGGTCTCGGTGGTACCAGGTGGACCGTAGGGGGACTCCGGGACGGCGGGTGTGAACCGGGGACCTTGCACCTCCTCCTGGCATGGGGTAGGCGGGCTTCAGGCAGCAAGGCCCGAGACCCAGGGGCGGTGGTCGCGCGTACAAGACGCCGGTGCCACGTAGACTTCTTTTGCCAACTTGAACCTCTGGGGTCGACGTCCGCGTGACGTGACCCCGGGTCTCGCACGAGGACTCGAGAAGAGACAGCCAGATCGGCGAACGGAGCGTCGGCCCTCGATCAACTACTGACAAGCGGCGAAGTGCGTCGGCATTTATACTCTTGCCATCGAATGTTCCAGCATTATTGCTGGTGGTGACGTAAATTCCGGAATAATCTCTACAGTTCACGGAGTGGGCGTGATCTTATCGAAATGATCTACTACAGTCCTGAAGCTTCTCGTAAACTGCAGGCACGGTTTGCGCTGAGATTGTGTAGTGTATTTGGGGCGATAAGAAAATTTGATGAGGAATGGAACGTCGCAATATATATATGTATATATATATATATATATATATATATATATATATATATATATTTATGTATATATATGTATATATATATATATATATATATATATATATATATATATATATATATATATATATATATATATATATATATATATATATATATATATATATATATATATATATTGCTAGGGGCGCCACAAATGAACATATTAGGAAATATGGCGATGTTTAGTGCTAGATCGTGCAGACTGGGCTCCATATTGTATGTCTGCCTGTTTAAAGTAAAAGTATTTTTCAGACGACTTCTTCTTGTAACATTTTGGTGGACAGTTCGGGTCTTCTCACAGTCAACATCCACGACGATTCTACGCAGCGGACGTTCCTTGGCTGCCTGTGCGATGACTGATGAAGACGTGAACGACGATTCTTGGGAGACTACCCCAACCGTCCTTCGTTCAACTACGCAGCACCCAACTGCACCGCATCCAGCCGCTACTAACCGCACCGTCATCTTGACCCAAACGCATGACCCAGGCATCTTTTCGGGCAGTGACAGTACTGACGTGAAGGAATGGCTTCAGCTGTACGAACGGGTGAGCGCTCTGTAAAACTGGAATCCGACGCTCACGTTGGCCAATATTATTTTCTACCTTGATGGCACAGCTAAAGTTTGGTTTTCCAACCACGAAGAGGAAATCACGAATTGAGACATCTGTGAACAGAAACTCATCGATCTCTTCGGCAAGCCCATTGGGCGGCGTCCTGCTGCACAGAAAGACCTAGCTTGCCGACTCCAGTCCTGCACCGAGTCATACATTATATACATACAACATGTGCTCGCCCTCTGCCGGAAGGTTGACGACAAGATACCGGAATCTGAAAAAGTCGCGCACATCCTCAAAGGAATTGCCGATGACGCCTTCACACTTCTCGTGTTTCGAAACTCATCGACCATAGACGACGTTAATAATGAATGCCAACGCTTCGAAGACGCTAAACGTCGTCGTATCAATCCACACTTTTCACGTCTTCCCAACACGGCTGCAACATCTACCTACGAGGATGCCCGTCTGCCACCAGCCTTCTGCTTCCGACAATATTGTGCGCATCGTGTGCCACGAAAATAAAGCAGCATCTCCCCTGTCTGACCAAGTCCGGGCCCCCGACTACCCTCGCGCCACGTTTTCTTTGATCAAGAGTGATGTGCGCCAGGAACTAGCCAACGCCGTACTTCAGACGCTATGCTCCGTTGACCAACCTGACTACCGACTGCCCAGTGCACTTAATATGTTTTGCGGACCGAGTACGCCGAGTTCCGGTAACCGCCCACGTTACCGGAACTCGGCAGAATGGCAAACTTCCGATGACAGCCCGATCTGCTTTAACTGTAGACGAGTCAGCCATAATTCACGTTATTGCCGCACTTCCTGGAATCGGCAGCCATGGTCGCATTATGCCAACACCCGACGCCCACCTGCTGGTTCTAGGATTCCGAACCACGTGGAACAAGACGATGCTTCGCCATTTAGGACCGGCCAACCGAACCGTTCCCCGCCGCCCTCTGTACGCATGTCCCGCTCAACTAACCAATGGCGCTCTCCCGCACCCTCCTACCACCAGCCCTCGGAAAACTGACGGGCGCAGCTCCTAGAAGTGAGCCTGCTTCGACGACCCGACCCGAAATTCTTATACACACGATATTCGCGCACAACAGCTTGATTAAAGTGAATGTTGACGGTACTTCTGTGGCAGCACTCATTGACACCGGCGCTCACATATGAGGCATGAACTCCATCCAGCCTTTGTGCTCGACTCAAGAAAGTGTTCACTCCTGCTCCGATCACTGTTGTCCGAGTCACTGATGGTGCAACACCAGCGGTCACTGAGATGAGTGCCACCCGCGTCACTGTTGCTGGACGTCATATCACACTCTAAGGCAAAAGTACTCGGAAAAGGAGTAACGGAGCCCAATAGGCGCACGCGATGAACGGATAGACCACTGAGGAGCAACCAAAAACGGAAGCGTGCCGCGTGCAAACCACTTAGTCTCCAAACACGCACCAAAAGGATTAACCACCCGGGAAATGCAGGCAGTGCACAAAGCGTTGCCAAGGTCACTACCATCCTCCTCCTCTCCTGGCTCAGTTTTTCCCCGTATTTTGCTGGCGACATGGCGTTGCGTCGCGCTCGGAGTGCTCGACCATGGCCGCCTGGATTCTACCATCTAGAAATCATGACGTGGTGCTTACATGGACGCTTGGATGAGCGTGCGCTGCTGCTTTTACTTTTCGCCCCACCCATGAATTCTGGAGAAGGTCTCGACACGTCACCACGCCGCGCTGTAACACACGACAGCAACACTTGGGAAGGCCAATATGGTAGCCGAGAAGACAGCACGCCTATCGGATACATTACTTCAGTCCGACTCAGCGCAGAAATCAGCGCCGGATTCTTTCGCAAGTAGGTGATCCAAGTAGGTGATCCAGGGATTAATTCTACTCTACTTGTGGCCTGTGCGATACGGATCGTGCTTGCAGGCAACGGGCTTGGTCGTGTTGTATATCGCACGCACGAAATGCACCGTGAAGGTTAGCTTGAGCGTCTGCAGTTCGCCTGTGCTTTGCGACCGCCAGGAAATTGGCCACCATTGCCGCTGGCCTCCCGTTCGCTCGCTCATCAAGTGCTCGCCTGTCTTCGCCGCCGCGATGAGCGGCGGGCTCACGATATTGGGCTGAGACATCGTCGCTGTGTTGGGAGTCGTCGAAAACGCCTTGCGGCTTCTCGTAACGAGCTTGCTTGTAGTATGTCGCGCGCTGTAAGTGCACCAGCACGGGCTGGCGGGGCTTACGCTAGCATCGGAACTCGGTGAAAATTGGTTGCCTTTCAGTTGACTTCCCCGTCAGTCGGTCGCAAGCAGCTCGGAGCCGTCCGTTGGTCGCGGCGGTGGACTCACGTTTGCGCGCTGCACTTGCTCGAGTTTGTGGAAAAGGGCCGTATTACCGTCGATTTCTTCGGCGCTAGCTCCCAACCAGCTCGGCGCTGTTCGTAGTGGCGGCCAAGCGTACGCTTGCTTTCCTGTTCGAAGTAAGCTGGCGGCAGACACTCCGCGTGCAGCGCCGTGTTTGGTCTCGCGTTCGCTTGCTCGAGCTGAACGACGTCGCTCAATTAGAACTCACCGACTTGTTGGCGGCTCGGTGGTTCGCAGAGTTGTGGCTACGGCCGCCGCTCTTAAGCTGTTGCACTACGGGGATCGAAATAAGTCTTTAACGATGTGTGACATCACGTTGAAATTATTAGCATGTCAAATCTCACGTATGTTTTTATTTCACCTTGCACGTATTTCTCATATGCATTCATTTTCATCCTCTGTCACGTGTGACTCACTATTTTACATACTTGTGCAGCCGTGGGCCCACACCGTTCTGAAGGCTGTGTGCGCTGGCGTCTGCGATGCCTGTCATATATCTCTTTCGTCAGAGCAGCTTCAGAAGTGCTGTACGAGATGTGAAGGTAAAGTTATTTGTGTGTCATATTTTACATGCATGCTTTTGTATGAACGTGCACGTACTTGTCATATGCGTGCGTCTTCATCTTCTGTCACGCGTGTCTAACTATTTTTACAATCCTATTGAACGTACAGCCGCAGGAACACAACAGGCAGAAGGCTGCGTGCGCTGTCGTCTGCAATGCCTGTCATCTATCGCTTTCGTCGGAGGAGCTTCCAAAGGAGTGAACAAGATGTGACAACGAGACTGCACTTGTACCCTTTACCACGAATTCACTTAAAAGAATGGGTAAACTTCATGTGTATGTAGAAAAAAAATGTTTGAACTGGGGAGAAAAAGTTCACCCGATCGGATTATTTGAGTGGATCAATCGTTTGTCCGGCGAGGTGCAACTGTAAGGACTAACAGTTGTCCAGTAAGGTGTGAATGTGGGTATTAACAGTTGCCCTAAAAGGTGCAAATGTGAGGAATAAATGTTAGTCCTTTGAGGTGATTTGCGGGACTAACGGTTACTCACTAAGGTGTAAACGTGAGGATTAAATGTTCATCCCTTGAACTCGCCTACTGTTGGACCCGGTGTCGTTAGTCCTTAAAGGAATGAATGGTTCTGGCTGCCCCATTAGTCCCCAAAAAGACGAACCACACACCTTTTTAGCACACTTTTGCCTTAGAGTGCACTATTCCTTTTTACGTACTGGACTACTGCCCACATGACATCATTTTGGGACTCGATTTTCTGTCGTAGCATACCGCCCTAATTGACTGCTCTGCTGGTGTTGCTCAGCTCATTTTACGCCACGCCGTTGACCCCCCTGATCCTGCGCCGCCAAAGCTATGCTCCATCGACTTTATTCGCATATCTTGTCGAGCTGTGACGTATATCGCCGTCTCTTCTGATCCACCTGTGGCTGACGTTGATTATGTCATTTCACCTAATCCTACAGTCCTGTGTTCGCTCAATGTGCGTTCCCCCACACCATCATCAAAATCAAGGACAACGTGGCATGTCTTCCCATTGTGAACTTGGACTTTGCTCTGAAGTGCTGCCACGATGGATATCCCTTGCAACCCTTGCCCCGGCCGGCGACTTCGACATATCCGCCTTAGCAGAGAATACACCGTGGTCTGCCAGTATTCATTTGGGCAGTACACTAGACTGCATAACTAATATGATTGCCTCTGATCTCCCAGTCGACCATGTGTCTGCGATTCGTGGCCTTCTTGTGTCGTATCAAGACGTCTTTGATCTTTCTGACCAACCCCTAGGTCAAACGACCTTTATAAGGCATCGGATCAACACCGGTGATGCAAATACAGTACACCGGTGACCCTATTGGTTTCCTCAACCGAGCACCACGTGATCCAGCAAGAAGTCGACAAAATGCTTACCCGAGACATCATTGAACCATCTTCAACTCCTAGGGCTTCGCCCGTTGTCCTTGTGAGAACGAAGGATAACAGCTGGCGCTTCAGTGTCGACTACAGAAATCTTAACAAAGTTTTAAAAAAAGACGTGTATTCTCTGCCACGAATAGATGACGCTCTTGACGGCCTTAGTGGAGTAAATTAGTTCTCTTCCATCGACCTTCGTTCCACGTACTGGCAAATAATAATTGAAGATCTGGACCGTGAAAAGACAGCATTTATAGCTCCCCATGGGATATATCATTTCAAAGTAATGCCATTCGGCTTATGCATTGCCCCGGCTACATTCGAACGAAGGACGGACGCCCTTCTTCATGGTTTCAAGTGGTCAATCTGCTTATGTTACCTTGATGACGTCATTGTTTTTCGCCAACTTTTGAAACGCACCTGGAGCGTCTCTCAACAAATCTTTCAGTTTTCCGCAAAGCAGGGCTCACACTAAACTCGTCAAACTGTCGATTCGGCCGCCGGCAGCTCACTGTCTTTAGACACCTTGTCGATTCTTCTGGTGTTCGTCCCGATCCTGAGAAATTTCGCACCGTAGAGGATTTCTCTATGATTTCTCTGTGACATCTGTGAACGACGTTGGAAGCTTTGTTGGCTTTTGATCTTACTTTCGTACATTTGTGCAGAATTTCGCTGACGTCGCACGCCCGCCCACTCACGGAACTACTAAAAAATGACGCTTTGGTGTGGGGACCTGAACAAATCAGAGCGTTCGTGAACTGACGACCAGACTTACAATGCCACCGATTCTCGGCCACCTTGACATGTGCGCTCCAGTGGAAGTGCGTACCGTCGCCAGTGGCCACGGAATCGGAGCCATTTCGGCACAACGACCGCACGGCTGTGAGCACATTACTGCATACGCTAGCCGTCTTTTCCCGCCAGAAGAACCAAATTATTCCATCACGGAACACGACTGCCTCCCACTCGTCTGGGCAGTGGCTAAATTTCGGCCTTATTTGTATGGACGCCCGTTCTCAGTTGTCAGTGATCATCACACCTTATGCTGGTTGTCGTCTTTAAAAGATCCTAATGGACGTCTCGGCTGGTGGGCTCTACGGCTATAGCAATATTCCTCACGGTTTTCTACAAATCAGGCAGCACCCACGAGGACGCTGATTGCTAGTCGCGTCATCCAATAGACCCAGAAGACCTTTCTGAGAGCGACGAGTCAACTTACGTTTTGGCACTTTCCGCGTCCAGCAACATCGGAGATAAGCAATGCCGTGATCCTCACCTCAGAGATATAATCCTTCGGCTCGGTGGTCCCACAACTCCTCCGCCTCTCCATATGTTTCTGCTCCAAGATGGCGTAATATATCACTACAGCATGCATCCTGACTGACCTGAGCTGCTGTTAGTCATACCACAACATATTCGTCAGACTGCCCTTGCACAGTTGCAAGATATTCCGACAGCCGGTCACCTGGGAATTTCAAGAACTTATGACTGCGTTCGACGTTGCTTTTTTTGGTCCGGTATTTACTGATCCGTCTGCCGTTACGTTGCCTCATGCAAATCCTGTCAACACCACAAAAAAAACCAGCAACCCTTCCAGCGGAACGCCTTCAGCCCATTCAGGTCCCATCCGAACCATCTTACAGGGTAGGTCTTGACTTACTAGTACCGTTGCCTTTATCGGCCAGCGGAAACAAGTGGATAGCAGTCGCCACGGATTACACCACTCGATATCCACTCGGTATCACGCGGGCTGTTCCTAACAGTTGTGCGACCGACGTCACTGACTTCCTCGTAGAAGACGTCATAGTACACCACGGCGCTCCTCGGCGCTCCACATATTACACTCTTGCGCTACAAAGCACACGTTAACAACGGCGTATCACCTTCAAACCAATGGGCTCATAGAGCGGCTAAATAGAACTATCACGGACATGCTCCCCATGTACGTTTCTCCCGACCATCGTGACAGGGACTTCACCCTCGAAATTTGGACATTTGCCTTTAATACGTCTGGGCATGGTACTGCGGGTTCCTCGCCCTTTTTTCCTCCTGTACGAAGGAGAACCCACGTTGCCTTTTGACACGCTCCTTTCTGCCCTTAGCCACACGCCAGAATATGCCCTAGATGTGATCTCTAGAGCTCTAGATGCACGTGAGATTGCTCGCCTGCGTCTGGGCGATTCGCAGAAACGACAATGACTGGTCTACAACGCGTGCCATCCTGATGTCCACTTCAGTCGTGGAGACACAGTCCTTCTGGGGATGCTGTCACGGCGAGTTGACCAGTTCGAAAAGTTGACCTCACCGTACTCGGGTCCGTACCGTGTGGTGCGCCAAGTCACCGACGTGACATATAAAATTGAACCTCTTGACGCCACCAGCGCGCGATCGTGTTCTGACGTTGTTCACGTCACACCAGTGAAGCGATATTACTCGGACAAACCAAGCATCAAGACGGTGCCTTCACCGCCGGTGGTGATGCTACGGGGCGCCACAAAGAAGTATAATAGGAAAGAGAACGATGTTTAGTGTGAGCTCGTGCAGACTGGCTCGATATTGTATGCCTATGCTTGCCTGTTTATTTAAAGTAAAGGTGTTATATATATATATATATATATATATATATATATATATATATATATATATATATATCTTTATTATCTCGTGCTATCTTCTTATTTGGTGCGTCAATGTTGCGCTTATCCCAGAAGGAGATATTGCACTCGCATTACTGTTATTCGGCAGATCATGGACGCGAACTAGATTCGCGTTAACTCGGTTTCGCGTTAACATTTCATTGTACTTAGTGTTTACATTATATGACGTATTATGCCAAGTGATCCTACGTACAATTTATACTTAAAAGATATTGGAAGTTTTCTTGTGCCAATTTAAGCGCGGACTAATCGCCGTAACTTTTGTGGAAGACAGAGAACATGAAGAGGGGGGACGCGTTTGACAAAAGAATTACCGAATCAGACACACTCTTATTACTATAATTGTGCCAGTTCCTAGCCCATGTTATTTTTTCTATATATTCGATTGCCTTTGCTTTGTAAGGATGTTTTATTTCCACATTTGTTGAGCTGTATCCACCGGAATAACAGTAAAGTCATCATAGTGGGTATGAGTCACCAAGAGAAAAATAGACTGCGGACTGTACGCTGTAGACAGTCTTGTTCTCAGTGTCGATTCAATTTCACGTACTGGTCGGTGTAGACACAGACTAATTAAGGGCCAGATTCAAGCTTACAGACACTTTGTTAGCAAATAAACTGTATAGTGCGCAAGAAACAAAGAAATTACAATTGTGGGAAACCATCATTGGGGGAAACTATCGCCCCTTGTTCTGACAACGCGCGTCGTTACCGGAACATTGTCACCTGTCCAAGAGACATCCATGGTGGCAGCGTCCTATAAGCGAGATAAATGAATGGCACTCACCTCATGTCATTGGACCCGCTTGTGAAAGCGTAGAACAGGTCCCACGAGTAGACCTGAACGCAAGTCATAAGGCAGAACACAGTGGCCGTTAGAGCTCCGGTGATGGTGGCCGCTGTCGGATGCCTGTAGAGAGCAGTGAATGTGTTGCCCTAAAAGGTTAACGTGTATGTTGTGGCACGTTTGGAGATGAAAAGTGCACCTCAAATTTTCAAAACGAATGCCAAAATTTTGCAAACGGCTCTTGCGAGATACGAAAAGAACGATAAAGTATGTCAAAACAAACGCCGAAGCACAACTAAGAATTAAACTTATGTTGTGTAGAGAAAGTATATTATACAGGAGGATCCCGTCTGCCCGAAATCTCCCTGCAGTGTCGTAATTTCAAAGTGCACTTTGTTTTTGAAGAAATAATGAGCAGTGCAGATACGGGACGAAGGAAATGAAACACACGTGGATAGGCACTGACGGCCAACTGGGGATTTATTCAAAGAAACCATCATAGACACATGAAAAAGAACAAGATGTGAACATAGAATATGCAAAACTTTCAATCATGAAAGTTTCATCAGGTATAGCGGATTTCAATGTCTAATAAGTCAAGACTGTTCTGTTTTAACTGTATTGCTGTGGAGAGGTTGAGGTGCCTATTGCCTCGGCTACTCCATATAACAAAGTTCTGCAGCGAAAAATAAAATAGTAATACAGAACGGTACCTAAAACTTAACAATACGGAAAAGAAAAAAACATAATAGCACACTGAAACCAGTTCAAATATCATACCAATACACAGTTTTCTTCACGCAGTTCACACAGTCATACACTATTTACACGCACACCTTACTAATCTAATGTCAGTGCATACATGACCACATTTTATATAATACCCATCTCTGGCTGTCAGTCATAGGCGCTTGTCCAGTCCGGTCTCCACTTAAAAGTCTGTCAGGAAGATTATTGCCTTTTTCTGGAGATGCATCTGAAGCCATGGTCCAAGTAGTTTATTGTGAGGGGCCATCTGTCCAAACTTTCTAATTTGTTTTTCAATTTTTCTCTTTCATTCGCGTATTTAACGCACTCCAAAAGAATATGGCGAACATTTTCTTCTGCATGACCACAATGGCATTCCGGTGAGTTGGATCGATGTATCTTGTGCAGGAAGCTGTTTGTGTATGCTACTTCCAATCTAAGTTGGTGGATCAATGTCTCTAGGTGTCGTGGGAGGTCTGTCGCTATGGAAAATTTTCTGTGTGGATCAACTTCATGAGGTACCGTTTCCTTTGATTTAGGGCTCTCAAACCACTTCTCCCTCGAACAATGGTTAGGTCCTTGCGATATAAAATGTCGAATATCTACCCCAGACATAGGGATTGCGCAATCCCGTCCTTCCTTCAATGCTTTTTTCGCGGGACTATCAGCATCTTCATTTCCCTTTATTCCAATGTGGCTGGGTATCCATTGGAATATAATGTTGTGACCCTGCGATGAGTCATAATCCACAGTTTCTGCGATACATTGTGCTATTTTGCCATTTTTGTAAGGTGATCTCACATTTCTGATTAGCTGAAGAGCAGGTTTGCTATCAGTGCATATCACCCATTTTCGTGGCTCAGGATTCTCGCAGATAAGCTTAACTGCTTCAGAGATAGCCACCAATTCTGCTGTCGTTGATGAAGATTTGTGCAATAATTTTTACATCTTTTTCTGAATTTTAGGTATAAAGATTGCACAGGCTGACGCTTCTTCTGTGCATGATCCGTCTGTATATATCTTCGTTTTTTTCATTATGCATTACATGAAGCTGATGAAGTACCAACTGTGCGGCTACTAGAGGTGCCATGTCTGCTTTCTTTTCTATGCCGTCTATTTCACGGATAACGTTGAGAAGTGGCAGCGTCCAAGGTGGTTTTGAAGGTTTCCATTGTGTAAATTCTGGTACTACCTCTTGAAATGATGATATAGTATCCTGTAGTCTCGTTGCCATCCTTTCTGTTAGTGCACCAGATAAAAAATGACTTTCATGTTGCGTGAAAATTCTAAATAAATTTCGAGATGTTTCTTTAGTTCGGAGTACTGCCAAAGGTGGCTCTCGAGCCTCCGCATACACTAAAGTACTGGAAGTTGACCGTGGTAAACCCAGACATACCCTCAAGCTCCTTGCCAATAACAAGTGAAGTCTCCTTTCGGTGGAGGCTGGGAGTCCGTGCAGCAGAGGCAGTGAGTAAGTTACGATGGGGCGTATCCAGGCAACATGTAGGGCTAATAATGACTCGGTAGTACCACCCCTTTGGCCCCGCAGAGATGCTGGAGGATTCGAATGGCCTGATTCACTTTTTGTTCCAGGGACTGGACATGAGGCGACCATGTTAGTCTCCGGTCTAAAATGACTTCCAAGAATTTATGAGTTTTAACCATTTCAATAGGCTGATTTTGCAGAATAATCTGGAAATTTTCAGGTCTTTTTAATGTAAACAGAAAGAAGTGTGGCTGTTTTAACCAGACTCTGTGCCATACCTCTTTTTTTAGAAAACGGTCTACATAATCCAATCCTTCTTGTAGAGTTTGTTGTACACCCAAAAACGATGGACCAGACGTCCATATACTTATATCATCAGCATATACTGAACATCTGATGTTAGGTGGAAGATTATATGGGAGCTGCGCCATGACTGCAATAAAGAGAGTAGGGCTTAGCACACTGCCCTGTGGCACTCCTTGGTTGACGACATGTTCGGACGTTGGGCCCTCCTGCGTAACTTCAAAAATTTTCCCGTGCTTCAGGAAGTCAGCGATCCAACGCAGTATCTTGCCCTTGAATCCCTGTAACGCCAGGCCTTCCAGAACGTGAACGTGACTCACTGTGTTGTATGCTCGGTGGACATCAAGGAATACAGCGACAGTGATATTTCCTTGCGTTCGTTGGTTTTCCACATCTGTGACCAAATGCAGAATGCTGTCCATTGTGCATTTTTCTCTTCTGAAGCCGGCTATGCTTTCTGGTAGTAGTTTTTTTTGTCTTGCCACCATAAAATTCGTTCATTGATAATTTTTTCCATCAGTTTTGAAAAACAACTTGTCAAACTAACCGGCCTAAACGAGTCCAACTGCATAGGGCTCTTCCCTGGCTTTAGCAACGGTACTACTTTTGATATCTTCCAACTTTCCGGAACTTTTTCTTCTTGCCAACTTTTATTATCGATGCCAACAGGTGTAATTTTCCTTTTTTGCATAAGTTAGCAAAAGCAGCGTATGTAACTCCATCTGTTCTTGGTGAACTTGTTCGTTTTACTGAAGACAGCACATATTGGAGCTCCTCTGGTGTGAAGCTGTCATCCAGATTTGTGGAACTGATCGCAGAGAACTCTGTTACAACCGCCGAAGCTGATTCTGCTAAGGATTTATATTCGCTAGTTTGGGTGGTCTCTCCGTTTCTCAGTATAAGATCGCAAAATTCTTCGGCAATCACACGTTCGCTAAATCCTCGAGACAGCGCTAGAGCCTGTAGTGGTCTCGAGTGGACTACTGGCTGTCGGAGGGCGTGTACCATGTTCCACAGTTGAGGCGCCGAGGTAAATAGAGAAAGTGAGGCACATAAATCTTGCCACCTTTTGGTTGAAAGCTTCTGCAGTTGGTTATGCATTGCAGAATGTACTTTCTGTGCAACCTTGAAATCTTCTAAATTACCCGACCTGCGATATCTTCTTTCAGATCGGCGTCGTATTGCCTGAAGCCTCTCATACTCATAGGTCAAGACGTGGTACGCTGGTACACATGTCCCCCTTTTCGCCTATAACATAGGCCTCAAATACTTCTCTAGCACGCCTGTCACGATATATCGTTTAAAAAGGGTAACGTAAGACAGGCTGGTGGTGCATCTGTGATTGGTGCAATTTGCCACGAGATAACTTACAACGCTATTTTTTATTAGCATGTTCTCACAACTAATCATTCATGCACCACCCACTCTTTCCCACGTACACGCTTCTTGCTATCTTGCGATCCAGGTCAGTTCAGCGCTACCTTGAGTGTCATAAAAATTACCAACTCGCTCAGTTTGCTGTCATCATTTGAGTAATGAATAGAACCTGGGCTTCTGGACAGTGCTCGGGGAACGAGCAGAAAATACCAACTGCCTCCTTTCGTCCCTTCTCCTAAAATGCAAAGCATATTTATGGGCGTCTGTCAGTAAAGCAACTCATTTTTCTGACATTGTCTAGACGCCCATTAAATATCACATTGTGGAAACTCATATATTCTTGTGTTAAAGAATAGGCTGGCATGGGTCACGATAGCAGGGTCATATTACGACTGGCACTAGGCTCGTAGTGAACAGTGCATGTCGCACATCGAGACAGAGCATCCATAGATCATAAATTGAATAGGTGCCCGAGCAAATTTCGAAATATTGGCTTCAATTGGCTTGAAGCCAGGTGACTTCCCTTTCTTCCCCCACCACTTTTTGGCTTTATTTACATTAATGACACACCTGCTTTCAAAATATCAAAAAATGGCAATACTGTTATAAAGAGCTAACAGCAAATTTTTTAGAAAGTTTGATGTAAGTTGTAGAAGACAAGAAACAGCGAGACTAATTTGTTCCTTTCGGGGAATTACAGTGGGAAGGCCTGATCTGATTGCGTAGTGTTACACTTACAGCCTGCTTCTTTTTGAAGGGACAAGAAGTAAATCCTGATGGGACAATCAGTAACTTTTGATATCCTTTCATAGATTCTTTACCTACTGCATGTTAACGCACGCTGACTGTCAGTCGCGTTTGTATCATAAACGTTTTTGCTAACTCCCAAGCTAGAGGAAACAAGATCACTTACTTGATAAACAGTAGCGCGAGAGGAAATGCGACGACTAGGAATATTTGAAGTTCTGCGCTGATGTACCACATGTGTTTCAAGCACTGTAAAAGGGTAAAAAAAGCATTAATAAAAGTGGGGAGTTGTTTAGGCGTCGCAGCAAACTTCTGGCCCTAAGGCACGACGCGACTGCTCTGTAAATGTGGAAGAAACAAAAACGTGAAATGTCATACCACGTCCTCTGAGTTATCGAAGTTATTCGCCTGCAATAGCACGATCCACCATTTGCTGTAGCAGCCGTGTATGTACTGCCTGTACGCGTCGTTTGACCCTGGACCGTAGGCGAAGAGTGGTAGCAGAAAAGCCACAAGTATTGTCACCATGGCAGGCACTACCAACCTGCGCAGTAGCATGCATAGGTATTTAGGCGAGGAGATAAGCCGCCAAAGAAATCTTCTCACAATGATGCACATATACGTTTGTGTTGATAATGATATGTGGGGTTTAACGTTACAAAGCCACCATATGTCTATGAGAGACGCCGTAGTGGAGGGCTCCGGAAATTTCGACCACCTGCGGTTCTTGAACATGCACCCAAATCTGAGCACACGGCCTGCAGCTTTCTCGCCTACATTGAAAATGTAGCCGCTGCTCCAGGGAGTCAATCCCGCGACCTACGGGTCAGCAGCCGAATATTTCAGCCACTACACTACCGAGGCAGGCCACATATCCGTTTGTTAAGGGGGAAAATAGCGAAATAGAAAAAAAAGTTTTACTTAGTGCCATAAGTCGGAAAAAGAGCAATTCCCTTAAGAAATATATGTTTTGTTGTGAGCTCCCTCGTACTCCGACTCACCAAAAGCTTCCTCAGTCGGTCTGACTCGCACTCAGACTCAGTAAAACTTTTTTCTATTGGACTCACTTGGACCTAAACTGAGTGAGTGAGACACTAACACTGAAAGCTTAGTGCGAGTGAAGATGAGTCTGAGTCAGTCGACTCTTGAGTGAGTTTGGCGACCTATGCGCAGTCTACTCATATGAGCGTTATAAGCAAGACGGCACTGCAGGACCTAATACACAGGAATGAAGACTCTTATTAATGAAGGTGGTTCTCGACAGCTGCAGCTTTGTTGGTTAGCAGCCATGTGACTGGCTGTGACAGCAGAAGTGTTACCAATTTAGCTAATTTTTAGCAAGACCTAGCCTCTCTAGGACTCGGCTAGCCACGAAAAATTATATTTAGCTATGAGTAGCTAGTTTAGCTTTTTATTCAATATTTAGCTCGTAATCCTGGTATTTTATCTAATACTTCTTTAAGTGTTTAACAAATATTTCAAGGAAATCACAGGACATGAAAAAATTGACCCTTTCCGCCGATGTAAATGATGATTTTTTATCTGCTCTAGTCTTTTTTAATTTGCATCAAAATGTCGCACAAAATATACAAGGCGACACCAGCTTGCCAAGTCATTGAACTCAGAAAATGGCACAACAGCATCATATTCAGCGGAAAATGATGACATCTCCAAATGGCAGATATTGGGTGTGTTCCAATACTCACCATAGACGGCTAAATAGACACCTAAGTGGACAGCGGCCATCTTAAGTCTCATTCCAATTCTCACGTAGGCGCTAAAATGACAGCTTAGAGAAGACGGCTTCATAGGCATATACGATGCAGGTGTAGTGCCTACAATAATGCAGGCTATTTTGCTCTAAAGGCAAGATGACGGCTGAGCAAATTGCTGAAATTGTTCACATCTCACCAGAATAGTCGTCTGCACAAAAACAGACGCTTCTCCAGACGCTCAATGTGAGTAACTTTCAATTTTTTGTTAGATTTTACCACGAAATAAGCTAAAAACTAACAGTTACGTTTATTTATTTTAGCTGTCCCTTCTAGACGCGACGTGGCACCTGATCACGTAGAAGCCGTTCAGACGTGTTCCATTTCTTCGCGGAGGAAGGAAGGGAAGGAGAGGGCATGCCCAGCAGGCGCGCTACGTGAAAAATGTGGAGAAAATTATGTCATGGCGGCCATATTCTCTGGGCACAATGGCGACGTTGTTATGGTTGCATGTTGAGCAGCGTAGCTTGTCTGACAGTGAGCGGCGGCGGTGGCGGTTGCATGTGTGCCTCCATAGGTCTCGTACTGAGCCGTTGCAGACAATATCTGTGTTCTGTGCTGCGTTATTAGTTACGCAGTGTTCTCCCGGCAGTTGTTAAACTCCTAGCAACGTTTATAAACACATTTGTTAGCCACGGGGACTGAACAGTTCATAAAACGAGCGCATATCCATGTACCCTGGGGCCGATGACATGGATGAAATACTCTAAGTGTACCGCGAAATTGCATTTAGGCACCATGACGAAACGGAACCACAACGAACACGTTGGAGCTAGGTCAATGATGTTTGTGCATTTTTCGTGCTTGTGACAACGAATTATACTTTTGGCCACCAAGACTCAACGAGGACCATGTGCACATAGGTAGTTTCGCGTTTGGTATGTGTACAATAATAACTTTCATGTGCGTATTAAAACACCTTATCTGTTTCGCTTGCTATACTCGCCCTCAGCATTGTTCTCTTGCCGTTAGAGTTACCACGTTCAAGTGTCTCTTACACCGTGCTTAAAATCACCGCAGTTGCACAATGCTGACGCCGGTGAGTTTTACGTGGAGCACGGGCACGGTGACTGGGTGCCGCGTTGGCCGCTTGAGAGACGGAATGCAACCGCAGAAGGTGGTCCACGGCCTACCCACGGCCGTGTTAGAGTGCATTAATTAATGACGTGAAAACACTAACGTTACACTCACCGCTGTCAGTGCATTCAGCGCGCCTTCTCTCGTGCTGGCTTCGTTGTCAGCGAGCTGTTACTTACTCTTAACACTCGGATGAAATGATTTTGCCAACGGTGTGGCAATGGCCTAGCGTGTTAAGCGCTGTTCCGGTGGTTTAGGTTTACCTCCACGCGCGTGCTGTGCAGTGTATGTGGTTGTCGTGCCGGAGAGAGAGTCGCACCTTCTTAGAATTCTGGTGCAAACAAAAGAGAAGAATAGGCCAAGTCAATATGGCCAACACAATGAGCGACGTCAGACCATCTCCTCAGTTGTTTTCTTCCTCCATGCAATTCTCATACAACATAGATTTGGTGCTGTCTTATTGGCTGTTTGCGTAGACTGTCTACCATGCTTTCTTAGAATTGGATCACAGCCATCATCGAATATTTGCATGCACCACAATACTTATGGCTGTTTACCACCGCAGGTTTATACCTGCACTGCCCTTTCAGAAATTTTGAGAGCGACTGCTTTCTGCGTTTTTTTACATTATGCTAGTGCGTATTCTAAATCATTTTCGTGTACTGTACATACGTAAACTCTATTTATCACACTGGTAACCAGCTAGAACGCGCAAGGTAAATATTGTTTGACGAATAAAGAATATGAATCTTAAAAAAAGTTAGGGGATCGCAAATAAATTCGTTTTCGTGACACAAGAGTTTCAAGCAAAAAAAATCTTTCACGCAGTGATGAGCAGTTTCGATATTCCTGTAAAAGTTTCACATAGTGTTGCTTCACCTGCATGCGCTTTGACTGGCAGGCATCTTGGTATTTCACTAATCAAAACAGCAAACAGTATCCTTGTTGCTCCAAGACGTTGCTGTATTGGTGCTTTCTTCTTAGCAATTGTTATTCATAAATAATTCGAAAAATATATTTGGTTGTTCAATTATGTCCTATTGATTTCTTACTCGAATTTGATTGATTGATATGTCGTGTTTAACGTCCGAAAACCACCATATCATTATGAGAGACGTCGTAGTGGAGGACTCCGGAAATTTCGAACCCCAGTGGTTCTTTAACGTGCACTCAAATCTAAGCACACGGGCTTACAACATTTCCACCTCCATTGGAAACGCAGCCGCCGCAGTCGGTATTTTCTCCCGCGACCTGCGGGTCAGCAGCCGAGCACCTTAGCCTCTAGACCACCGCGGTGAGGCAATTATTCACATTTTCGAGTATTTGCTCACCCCTAATGTTTACAGAGATCTGTGCATATGCAGCTCGTCTTTGATTAGCGCGGTAGCCTGTACGCCTTTCTAAAGACCACAACTGCCATAATTTATTAGAATGCACTGAATACGCTTTTCTTTTCCTACATATATTCTGTGTAGCTGCGTTCAGGAAGATGTCACTTGATAGTTCTATTCAAACTGGATAACACAACCGCGAGTAAATTCGTTGCCATCCTAGAATATGGCTAAAATGCTTGAAACTTTAACTTAGCTACTTTTTCATCTCCTTACTAGATTTTTTAGCGACTTCTAGGTACTTTCACGCTGCCATCTATAGCTATTTTTGTCCTCCTATATTTGGCAACACTGGAGAGCATGTATTCTGATTTTCGAAGTCGATCAAGTTTTTTGCGGTGTAATTGTCATACGAAACGGTGCTGTGACGCGCGCTTTCTGATCAAATAAATTTTCTATGTTTGAATAGGATTTTTCCATCTTCTTGAGTAGCATATAGTTACCGGGCGTTATTTTAAACATATATTTTCAAACTGTGAGAAAACTATGGAGAAGAGCTGCAAAGTGCAGCAATGAAAAAAGTTAACACTGAAAAAATTGACTTACACAGACGAATAGCAGCATTGATTTGAAAGGTAGGCGTACCTGATATATCGTTGCGATGTTCGCACAATGTAAATGAGAAATGGGTTCGTTCTTGCAAGAGCTTCACGAGATGCCGCGGTGACGTACGCCAGCAGGAACCCACTGCGTTGTAAAAAACAAAGACGTATTTGAAGTGTTGGGGTGTTATATATGTATATCCTAAATATCGTAATAACCAACACAAAAAGTAAAAATAGTCACCTTAAAAAGAAGAAAACTGTGACGCTGAGGAATGCGTTAGTGATAAACTGGAATGTAAAGTTCTCCGTCATGGAATCCATTGCGAAAACCGCATCTAAGTAAAAGAAAAGACTGGTGAGTAGGCTGATGGGTTGCACGGCAGCGTTCTGATTGAACTAGTAAAGATGGTAACTACATTCTATGTAGGATCTGTAAGTGTCATATATTTTTTGATGCGAAGCATTTTTTATCCTACTACAGACACTTTTTGCACATCCATTCATCCATGCATCCGTCTATCCATCCATCCATGTGTCCATCCACCCGTCCATTCATCCATCCATCTATCCATCCATCCATCTATCCATCCATCCATCCATGCGTCCGTTCATCCGTCTATCTAGCCGCCTACGTCAGGGTGCCATCGGGATCACCCTCTTAACTTAAGTAAACCAAAAGTAGTATGTGTGTGTGAGATGGCTTGGTGAATATGGCTCTCTGGTGATGACATAAATACAGAGACAATATCGTCCTGTATATCGTCAAATCCTTTCCACCAGACACGTGTGACACATACCCATAAACCATAAGTGGGTATGTATGTGCCACAAGTATGTGATACGTACCAAGAGTAATTGACAGTTTATATCTACCCAGAAACGGCGAGAACAGACATTGGTAACTTTAACACGAGAGCTTTGAGAAAAATCGGACATTGGCCACGTTTACCAAACGAACGCGATGAATAAATGTCAGGGTCCCAGCAGGGATCAACCCCAAGCATTCTGCCTGGAAATCAGGTATTCTGCCACAGAGCCACACCAGGTCTTGGAACTGCTTGTGGAATCGTCCGTACTGTTCGTGATAACGTCAGTGGGTGGTGGTTGCAGTGCTGAATATCACTCTTGGACCATATATATATATATATATATATATATATATATATATATATATTATATATATATATATATATATATATATATATATATATATATATATATTGCCACAAGGCAGTAGTGGGATTGGGGCATAAAGCGGTAGAGGGTCCCTGGCTAAAAGAGAAGACTACGAAGTGAATAGAGACTGGTTCCAGCCCGCCAGTGCGCCAGGCATTGTCATCGCGTGTAATCAGTGTAAATATCTGTAAATATACGTTTTCTTGTAAGATTATTGGTGGAGGTGCGGGGTACGCCTACCTGGCTTTTCCGGCAAACCAACACGGAACTTCGGAGTGGTCGCCACCTTCATTTTTCTGCAATGGCTCAACAGGCCCACCCACAAGAGCAACAGCAGCCGCAGCTGCAGCCTGCTGCAGCAGCAGCAGCAGCAGCAGCAGCAGAAGCAGCAGCAGCACCAGCACCAGCACCAGCAGCACCAGCACCAGCACCAGCAGCACCAGCAGCAGCAGCTGCCTCCTCTGATTCTCCTGCCTCCACGAGACCCCGGAACCTTCTCGGGCACAGGCAAGGACAAGGTGAATGGTGAAGATTGGGTCGCTTTGTACGAGCGCGTGAGCGAATACTATAGGTGGGACCCTACGTTGATGCTGGCCAACGTTGTATTTTACTTGCGGGATACGGCGCTCACCTGGTATGAGACGCATGAGTCGGAGTTCACCAGCTGGGACGTTTGCAAACTGAAGCTTCTCGAGTTATTCAGCAGGCCATTTGGGCGACAGCAGGCCGCGAGGAAAGACCTGGAATGTCGCGTGCAGACATCGACAGAATCGTATGTATCTTACATACAGGACGTATTGGGCCTCTGTCGAAAGGTGGACGAGAACATGAGCGAAACTGACAAAATCGCTCACATATTGAAGGGAATTGCCGATGACGCGTTCAATCTGTTGATCGTTAAAGATTGCGCCACCGTCGACGCGGTTGTGAAGGAGTGTCAGCGCTTCGAGCACGCCAAGAACCGTCGCATAACCCGCCAGTTTGCGCGTCTGCCTAATACTGCAGCCACTTCGACCTGTGAAGACAGCCCCAAGTTCACGCAAGCTACATCGTCCGAAAATGTCACCCGAATCGTTCGTCGCGAACTCGAAGCAATGGCTCCTGCAGCCATCGCCTCTGACGGTCCTCAAGACAACGCATCCACCGTCTCCCTCATCCAAGCCGTCGTTCGCCAAGAAATAGCAAATCTCGGCATCACACATGTTTGCGCTGTTCGCACCACCGAGAGCTCGGCTTCTGTTAACCAGATTCCGGTGTACCCTTCACGCTACCCTTCCCGCTACCGGAACCCTGCTGAATGGAGAACGTCGGATGATAGGCCAATCTGCTTTCACTGCTCTCGCGCCGGCCACATTGCACGCTACTGTCGCAATCGTTGGTCATCCAATTCATCTTGGAACACTGGGACATGGCGTCGCTTTGAAGGCAGTTCTCGCCGCTTTTCTACTCCGTACGATCCACAGCCTGCTCCTACTAACGTTCAGGGCCGAAGGTTCAGCCGGTCGCCATCACCCCAAGGCCGCCGATCTCTCTCGCCGATGATTTCTCGATCCAGGTCCCCTGCACGACCTGGGCCCTCAACCTCGGGAAACTAGACCATGCAGCTCCCGGAGGTGACGCTGCATTAACGACCCATTCTGCAATCCTCTGTTGACGATTCCTACACGCCGCAATATTTTGGACCTTTTGGTGGATGACGTTACCGTTACAGCCCTGATAGACACTGGTGCACAAATTTCAGTCATGAGCGCTGCTCTCTGTACTAAACTGCGAAAAGTGATCACGCCTCCTATTAAGTGTGCAGTAATGCTTGCCGATGGGAGCACATCTGCCGTTCTCGGCATGTGTACCTCTCGCGTATGTATTGCTGGGCGCCAGACCGTCGTATTGTTCACCGTGCTTGAGCAGTGCCCACATGACGTGATTCTTGGCCTCGACTTTCTCTCTGTGCACTCCGCCCTTATCGACTGCTCGACAGGTCTTCTTCAGTTGGAACTGCCTTTTGACGCCGCTGTTGCCCATGACGCTCAAAGTCGCCTTTGTGCCACCGAGTTCCTGCATCTTCCGCCGCAAGCCGCGACTTACGTGCAGCTCGTGTGTGATCCGCCTGTGCGCGATGGTAAATATGTCGTTTCACCTATTACCGACGTTGTGCTAAAGCACTCCATTGCTGTCCCGCACACCGTGGTGAGAGTATGCCACAATCAGACCCATCTGTCTCTTTTGAACTTTGGTTTCTCCACGCATGTGCTGCCTGCTGGTATTAAACTAGGCGTCATGTCGTCGCTGCAAGAGTGTGATATTTCTGAACTGTCGGCTCAGCAACCTGCTCCGCATGTCAACTTGCTCACTGCGCCCAACCTGTCAAGCATTGACATTGCCAAAATGATAGCGCCAGATCTTTCGCCCTCCGAAGCACCAGACCTCCACCGTCTGTTGACATCCTATGCGGACATATTCGATCTTGACAACCGCCCTTTAGGCCAGACATCAGTTGTGACCCATCACATCAACACCGGGCGATGCCAACCCAATTCATCGCCGCCCTTACCGCGTCTCCGCCGCCGAACGCTCTGTCATCCAGAAAGAGGTCGAGAAAATGCTCTCCAAAGGCGTCGTCGAACACTCATCTAGTCCGTGGGCATCCCCGGTAGTGCTTGTCAAGAAGAAGGACAACACATGGCGGTTTTGCGTCGACTATAGACATCTCAACAAGGTCACTAAGAAGGACGTTTACCCTTTACCAAGAATAGATGACGCCCTTGACTGCCTTCATGGCGCAAAGTTTTTCTCCTCCATTGACCTTCGATCTGGTTATTGGCAGATCGCTGTTGACCCACGGGACTGAGAAAAAACAGCATTTGTAACCCCCGATGGGTTATATCAATTTAAAGTAATGCCATTTGGGCTTTGTAATGCGCCGGCCACCTTTGAGCGCATGATGGACTCCCTTCTGCGCGGCTTCAAATGGTCCACTTGCTTATGCTACTTGGATGATATAATTGTTTTTTCACCGACGTTCGCAAGCCATCTAGAGCGACTGTCCAGTATTCTCCAAGTATTTCGCAACGCTGGTCTCCAGCTGAACTCTTCCAAATGCCGTTTCGGCCGTCGCGAAATAACTGTACTTGGTCACCTCGTTAACGCATCTGGGGTACAGCCCGATCCGGACAAAATTCGCGCATTGACTCAATTTCCCGTGCCCTCTTCTCATAAGGATGTCCGGAGCTTCCTTGGTTTGTGCTTCTATTTTCGCCGCTTCATCCGAAATTTCGCCGATATTGCGCGGCCTCTCACCGAGCTTCTTAGAAAAGACGTCCCATTTACTTGGAATTCGCCTCAGAGGGCTGCATTTTCGGCGCTCATTGCAGCCCTCACGACTACGCCAATATTAGCCCACTTCGATCAGACTGCCCCGACAGAAGTTCGTACGGACGCGAGTGGCCACGGAATTGGTGCTGTTTTAGCTCAGCGTCAGCATGGACGTGACTGTGTCATCGCCTACGCCAGCCGCCTTTTATCCCCTGCCGAGAGGAACTATTCAATCACCGAAAGAGAGTGTCTTGCTCTTGTTTGGGCTGTCGCTAAATTTCGCCCGTACCTCTTCGGCCGCAGTTTTACTGTTGTAACTGATCACCATGCACTCTGCTGGCTTTCCTTGCTAAAGGATCCCACGGGACGTCTCGGTCGTTGGTCTCTACGCCTCCAAGAATACACCTTCTCGGTCGTGTATAAATCTGGTCACCTCCATCAAGACGCCGACTGCCTGTCACGGTATCCAGTGGATCCACCAGACGCCACAGAGAGAGCTACGGAGGCTTGCGTCTTATCAATATCAGACTTTCTTGATATCGCTTCTGAGCAACGCCGCGACCCGGATTTACTTCCCATCATAGAAAGCCTGAGTTCCGCTACTCCACCCACTTCTCTGAACTTGTATTTCCTTCATGAAGGAGTTCTCTACCGCCACAACATGCGCCCTAACGGCCCTGACCGCCTTCTCGTCGTGCCTTCCCATTTGCGTGTAGATGTTCTCCGACAGCTTCACGATGAACCTGCCGCTGGTCACCTGGGAGTCACTCGCACTTATGATCGCGTCCGGCGCCGTTTTTTCTGGCCACGCCTATATCGCTCTGTGCAAAAGTATGTTGCCAGCTGCGACCTTTGTCAACGTCGAAAACGACCAACATCGCTTCCAGCTGGCCTTCTTAACCCTATTGAGATCCCTGCTGAACCATTCTACCGCGTAGGGCTCGACCTTCTCGGGCCATTTCCCACTTCTGCATCCGGGAACAAATGGGTTGCCGTGGCGACCGACTACGCGACACGTTATGCGATCACCCACGCTCTTCCAACCAGCTGCGCTACCGATGTCGCCGATTTTCTGCTACATGACATCATATTGCATCACGGCGCTCCTCGACAGCTCGTTACTGACCAAGGCCGATACTTTTTATCTCGCGTCGTCCAGGATATCGTACGTTCCTGTTCCACGAACCACAAGTTCACAACGACATACCATCCACAAACTAATGGACTTACAGAGCGCCTGAATCGCACTATCACGGACATGTTGTCAATGTATGTTTCTCCAGACCACCGTGACTGGGACGCAACGTTACCCTACGTCACCTTACAACTCCTCCAGACATGACACCGCAGGCTATTCCCCGTTCTACCTTCTTTATGGACGGGAACCCTCTCTGCCTCTTGATACACTCCTTCCCGCTGGTTCAAGCTCCCCTGTCACATACGTCCGCGATGCCATAGAGCGAGCCGACGCAGCACGACAGATTGCCCGAGAACGACTCATGCTTTCTCAAGCCTCTCAGAAAGATCAATACGATCGTCACCACCGTGAAGTTTCGTATGCACGAGGTTCTCTCGTACTCTTGTGGACCCCATGTCGTCACATCGGCCTCTCCTAAAAACTTTTATTTCGCTATGACGGACCATACAAAGTCCTTCGCAAGATCAGCAACCTCACCTACGAGATACAGCGAGTCGTCGACGAAGCGCACTCAATGCCACCACCATCCACTGTTGTGCACGTCGTAAGACTGAAGCCTTATGTGTCACCCAACACTCCCCTTTCGTGACAAGCGCCGGGTCGGCGCTTTAACGCCGCGGGGTAGTGCCACAAGGCAGTAGTGGGATTGGGGCATAAAGCGGTAGAGGGTCCCTGGCTAAAAGAGAAGACTACGAAGTGAATAGAGACTGGTTCCAGCCCGCCAGTGCGCCAGGCATTGTCATCGCGTGTAATCGCTGTAAATATCTGTAAATATACGTTTTCTTGTAAGAATATATATATATATATATATATATATATATATATATATATATATATATATATATATATATATATATATATATATATATATATATATATATATATATATATAATACAGCTATCATGTTGGGTTATTGTTAATTGTAATTAAGCGCCATCTACTAACGTTCATTTATGAAGCGGTGTCGGCGGCGGCGGCTACCATCCTCGCGGGCACAAGCGGTACATGTTAGACTACCAGTTCAGGTGTTGCCTACAGTATATATATGTGGCTGTTGGCATCGTTACGCAACTGCAAACTGGTTATATAAAACATGTGTGACGGTTCACCTCATGGCTGTGCGTACAACATTATTACATGTCTTTAGCGTCATTTCGTAATGTTTTGCTCAATGAAAGATTACAACACAGTCACTTTACTCCGCAAGCCTCGCATAACAATAATTTCCAAAGGTACGTGGGATCTAGCGTATTTTTTTTTTGAAGACATCGCTAGCTTCAGCCTGCACTAAACGTTTTTACGTGACATTTAAAAAAAATATGTGTAGGCTTTAAATTTGATTGGTAAAGCTTGAAACATTATCACTCTGCTAAATGAGACATATTTCTAATGACTGTGGACATTCTCGATACCACGTGGGCACTTCTCCTCCTAGTATTGTAGCTCCATGGAACTATAAGCGTTATGCCTTTACACGGCACGAGTTCGGCGTGATTTACGCGGACTGAATAATAATTATCAATCGATACCTGACGTACTATTTTATGCATGACAAAATGGCTCAGAAGCTATACCAATAACGGTATATTTGTTCTTTGGACAGAATTGAATGCAGTGTAGATCCTAGCAAATAAGAACCAGCTTAGTTTCTGTTTCAGGGCCGAGAGAGTAGCTGTGGGCTGATCTATGGCTATAGAATTGATTAAGATATGCTTTCTTGCTTCGGTTTGAACACCTCGTTAGGTTAGGCCTGAGTTAGGTTTATGGCACTGAAATAGTCGTGTACTAGTGCCAAATACGCTTCTATATGGCTCGGTTTCCACTGACCATGGTGCGCCGCAGTGGTCTAGTGGCTAAGCTACTCAGCTGTTGCCCCGCAGGTCACGAGATCAAATCTAGGCGGCGGGGGCTGCATTTTCGATGGACTCGAACTTATGGTAGGTCTGTGTGCTGAGAGATGGGTGCACGGTAAGGAACCCCTGGTGGTCGACATTTCCGGAACACTCCACAACGGTGTCTCTCATAATCATATGATGAATTTGGGACGTTAAATCCTACATAATAACCAATCCACTGACCGTGAAAAGTGCGCAGTCGTAACATCTGCGCACCCTATCGCACGACAAAATTAGATGCCTTCGTCCCATGACCTATTATTATGTTACGTGCCGCACGATGCTTCATGATCAAATTCTCGTCTTCGCACCGCAGTGCTTGTTACTATTTGTAATACTCTTTCCTCATTACGTTGATTTAATTCGTGAAGTTTAAGACGAGGGTGAGAATTTATATTTTCAACAAGTTACCGTCTCAAGTATACATAAAATACGAATTGAAATGCTACGGCTATTTCAAATTAACAAAAAGCAATACTCTCAGTTTGCAATACATGGGGCCTGCAAAAATGTTTCCTCTAGAGCCCTTTCAGGTGTTAGAAGGTAATGAAGACATGCGTATTCAACACGTAGAGCCTAAGCATAAACCTGACGAGCATTTCCAAACTGTGTTATTTTTAAATGTTCAGATCTCGCATTCACAAAAACGAATTAAGCTCAATATCCTCGTAAGAGAATGCTTGAGCCAATTCTGATGACGGATAGTAGATGAGAGCTTCGTGAATGCAGCCTCTGACGTAGCTGCAGTCTACTTATAGCCACCACTACGTCTTCCTACTTCGGTTGGTGTGCATGCGAGTCAGCCGTTCATCTGTTGCGAGTGTACTGAACTTCGCACTGCTCAGGGCTCCAATATAGCCAGTGCTTATTCACGCTTAAAAAATGACTCAATAGGTCATAAAGAAGAACGCAGTTATGAAATTCATTTTGGTTTCCCTGATAGTTTCAGCTATATACTTACCTTGAGGTGGAAAAAACAGAAATAATTGCAAAAGCAACCTATGATTTATATGTTACATACATCTCAATTCCTAATAAAAATAACGGAAGCCAGACTTGATTATTTTAAACAATTTTAAAAGTAAGCACTATTACCAGTTCTTACGCAATACAGAGAGTGAAAAAAATGTTTCAGCTTAGCCGCTGTGATAAATCTTAGACGACTTAGTTTTTGCATAGAAGCGCTCATTTGACGAAAGCGCGATTTAGGGCTAAAGAAAAGGATGCACGAGAGAGTACCGGACAAGTGCTTGTCTATTCGTTCATAGTGTGTTCGTACTTTTAGCTCTAAAAGCAAGATGTTTTAACTACTCAACTATATGCATATCAACGAGTTCTTGTTAAGTGGTGTCCAATGAACCATGCAATTTTTTGTGTAGTGCTAAGAGATGAAAAGAGAAATAAGCCTGTTGCAACTTTTCTATTATTTTGACAGGATATTGGTTCATAATATCGGGAAACATTGCCATTGCCATCAAGGAGGGTGTCCTAATTTCAAACAGCGCAGTGACTGTGGAAACTCTACAACAGTATCTTTTTTTTTCCCACATAATATGTTCACGCGTATGAGAAGTGTAAAAAGTCACTTGAAAGAGGCAAAATAAACTCACGGAAATATCCCATCGGCAGAATGATGTAGGCGTGTCCGAGTACCACCCAAAATGTCATGATAACTTTCAAGCCACATATAAATTTCAACGCTTCGTTTTGTGGCTTCACTGTCGTTCTTAGGAGGATCTTGGTGTTCGTTATCGCCGAGAAGACCAAGAGAACACGCCTTACGTTGGCTGAAAAAACAACAAAAAGTGGGTCCACAAACGTAGTGTGTGATTCGTCAAGAAAGCAATGCTCCCTGCTTTATGCCTGTATATCAGAGTACACCATGTATCGGTAGGTTTTATACACTATACGTATACATTAGATGACTTCTTAGCAGAGCGCATCAAAAGCTTTCCTTATACGTTTAAGGTGTGAAGCGCTATGCAGGGAAGCTTTTTGAGCAAAAAAGTTTTTGAGAGAATTTTGTAATGATGGAGACAGAAGTAACTTAAATGTCCGAAACAAACTGTGTGATGAAATCTGCGCAACAAAGGTTTGCTCTCTCTGCTTAATACACAACCTTGATTGGGCGTTATTCTCTTACAAATGTTGAACTAGATTTTAAGATGCTGAATCACTCTATGGGGCCTTCTGTCACATCAAAATAAAGGGCACCTTCGGTTTTGTTACAACACGCGCTTTGGATTGTTTATTTGCTTTTCTTGAGGGTGCCTGCCGTTTCCTCATGCGTTTGACGGAAATTACCGAGTTGTTATTGCGTCACGATGGTTGTTTCATAAATGGTAGGCTCCAGACGTGTCCGACACCATTCTCATGGCATGCCGAGTTCCTCTGACGAGAGCTAACGGGCTTTGTTTAAATATTCAGTTTTCTATTGGCGTATTGCATCAGTGTAACATTTCTGAAATAACCTTGTCCCCATGTTATCTATGTACAACGTTTGCACGTTTGTATTGCCCGAACATGGCGGGGCCCTTTAGGAAAGTTTATGAAAAGATATTTTCGCAGTTTGTTTTTAATACGAGTTGAGTTTGATGTATTGATTTACATGAAACACATCCGTGCAGGAATCAAGAGCGTCAGCAATTTATTTACTAATGGCTTTGAGATGATTGCTGTCTGTTAGAGAAAGTATTTTCTGGAGAAATATCAAAACAGAGAAACAGTGCACTCGGACGAAATGAATGTTACGCGCCTTATGTTCCTTATTTCAAATTAAATTTGCAGAAGCACAACAACTGATAAGCAACTGTTTCTTCAAACCACACGAATGCCACATGCTCTTCATAATTTTGCAGTTTATGAATGGCAGCGCATGCCAGTGCAGCTAAAAAGCTAATCTCATGCTTTTTTCCGGAACTTTATTAGCATATGTGGTGTAGGCACTTAGAGCCAGGGATGTTTTTTTTTTGTAAGATGATGTTGAAGTGCATTTAGTAAAAAAAAGAGACATATTAATTTGCAAGACGAGCAATGCAGGAACTGATCAAATTTCAAGAGCACACCTCACAAAGATGACTTGTGAGATGACTGCATCATCTAAACTTTTTTCTGTGTGCAGCCAAAGTTTACTCAACTAGTACTGCGTGGTTAGCCTCTCTGCCTTTCTTTTGAATTTCTCTCTCTCTCTCTCTATGGTCGAACGAATTATTAATTTCCAAAAAGGATTTCTTATTAAACTAAAACTAGAAAAAGAACTGCGACACTCTTTCATGAGACGCGAATGTCGTTGACGTGATGCGTGCAATCTTGTCCAAAACAATATTTCGAGCTTCTTTGATCGATACTAAGTATTGAACTGCATACGGTACTATGTATATACACCACTGCCTGAAAAAAACATCCTGAAGCATATTCAGAGTCTGTAAGCATTATTCTTCTGGGTATTTTAAGTGCGCATCACTTTAAGGAGCTGGCCTGTCGTATGCTGTTTTATGCTTTCGTATGTTGTGAGTATATTATGCTGTCGTATTCACTTGAAGTAACGCAGGCAGAACCACGCATATCGTAGCCAGCTCTAGCGTATCAGCGTGCTGTTGCTCCCAAGAGAAGTTTTTTTGCTCTTGTTCTTCAATCACCTTGACGATGATATTAATTGCAGACATTACTGATATAGCTATGGAAACAGACGACATATACCACGTATAAAGATTGAAACAGGCAGCAAGCAAAGATTAGAAAGAGAGAAAAAAATATTGAAACGAAAGTAGAAATAATCAAACTAAAGAGAAAAAACACAAAATAAACTGGAAAAGATAGCAAGAAAGAAGGCGAGAATGAAAGAAAGACAAAACTGAAAAGAAAAAAACAAAGAGCTCCGCACTTTTTTTTTTTTGGTTCAGCATCCCCACAGGGCGGAGCTGCCTTGATCTCCATTTATCGCCTAGCATAAAAGATTGTGAGCTGAGTTAGAAAAATCAAGTGAGTGTTGAAACCACTGGGCATAACATGTTCGACAAATTAAATATTGGGGTGCTCACCTAAAGCAAAACGCCAACCAATATTAGTCTTATTTACTTTTTAGTCGTTACTAATCAATTAACACTTAAGAACATAAGGACGTCGTTTGTACCATACAGATGCCTTCTGTTATTTTGAGGGTGTATATAAGTTAGCCAAATGGAAAGAAAAAACACATTTACCTCCTCGTTTTATCCTAAAAGCATGAAGGTCGGCTTGATGAAGCCATTCCAGCGTGGTGCCCACACCAACCAGAACACCTAAAAGACAGAGCACTGCTCTGCGACACGTGCACAGGAGCCGTCTTAGTATGTCCCATTTAGAGCTGAGTTGATCAATCGCATGCGTCACATCGCGAACATATCCACATCACTTACATGGAAAACACTTGAACTGAGTTCACCACCTTGGTGTCGTCAGTACTGCAGGAAGTCACTGTGGCGTTACCTCCGTACTCGTTTATCACTGAAACATGTATGATCACGGTGTTGAATGAATACTTGTAAATATACATAGTGATTCTGACACGTCTAATAGGCAGACACACCAATAAATGCCAAACTGGTATCGGAGGAACACAAGTAAACGTTGATGTATCGGGCGTAAGTGCTGAAAGCTTATCATTAACACGAATATACGAATAAACGGAACGTGCATGAGCAAAGAACATGCGATGTCGCAGGCGGTTGCAGCAAGGATGTAGCAGTCTAAAAATTTTATGCTCTAACACAGTTCAATAAAGGACAGAATGCGAGACGCGCTTTGGACAAGAACTAGAACAGCGTTCTTTCAAGGAACATCTGCGTCAAACTAACACACGTGCTTCATTGCCTGCTGCCTGCTTTCCCCTCGCGTAATATGCATTAGTTATTTATTGTTACATATATAGCCCCCTTTGGCGAAATTGGTCTTCAGCTTATGCCCAGTGAAAGTTTCAGTACATTATGCATAGCTGTAGCATTGGTTACTTAGTCTATTCATATACGCAACAGCACCCCTACAGGGGCGCATATTCTCACGTGAGCGAACCACAAAGGTGAGGTCCTGCCTCGTGCACATCGAGGGTGCACAGAGTCCTCCTAGGGTGTGTACGCCCTTTCGATGCGGTGATGAGGCCGTCAGGGGGTTGAGGCGACCCTGCGCATTCAGCATGTCAGGTCCAATTATCGGAGTGAAACCGACGGCTGCAAGTACTTGACTGTCCAGAAGATGAGTCCCAAACTTTTAGAGCAACCCATTCGCAAGAGCTGCGCAAGGTCACTCAGAGGCTGTCATCATTGCCTTGTTTGCTGGCCTATCGAGTGTCTTGCATTTTTACAAAAAGTTCTCGCGTAGGTGGCTTTATGAATCACTGCAAATACTCAGCTAGTTAAGCTTAATGATGCAAATTTTCCTTTTATATGGGGTTATGAGCAGAACATTTATCAAAATAAAAACTATATTTAACTCACTCATAGCGTGAGTTTAATTCGCACATATGGGGGCTCTGTTGTAGAACCATAACTCAGACATGGAGCTTTTTTCCATTCAGTAGACCACCAGAAACCTCTCTGTGAATTTGCGCAAGTAAATCACCTATGAATGATTTGGACTTGGAGTAGTTAGAGGAGAGACCTGAAAGTCTATTGCGCAAAAAGCTTGGTTTCTAGTTGAGTAATAAATTAGTTCTAATAATTGATAACTGTAAAACTGGGATAACTGTAATTGAAAAAATAGTACCTAATAATGAAAAATAGAGGATTATTAAATTCCGTCTTTTGTGCAGCTGTAATGAGAAAGAACGACAACAATCGAGCACTTGTTCACCTGAAATCGCAAATAAATAAACAAAGTAATTTTATAAATATTGTTACGTGAAATGTGCATCGCTCCTGACGCCGTGTGCCTTTATTCGAATTACGTAAAAGTAAGTTCTGGCCTGACGCAGTACACAGACCACCCTCCCGGCACTCCTGGTACGTTTAGTTTAGGTATCTTCGGTCTCGTGGTCTGGAAATTTCACAATGAATAGCTCAAACTACGCGCCAGAATATTGATTAAAAAAATTGGCTCCCCATGTAATGTAACGTAGAACAACTTCGCCAAATAAACAGCCACCGTGAAACTGAAAATGACATGTTTATTAATTTCTTTTGCTAATTAGCCATTTTGGAAAATTGTAACTAGTGGCAAAATATTTCCTCCTGAACCTGACATTGGCTGCGAAGACGCAAGCGCCTCAGTATTCCAGTTTTTAAAGAAAAAAGTATATTGCTTCAAAAACATTTTCTATCTCTCTCTCTCTCTCTCTCTCTCTCTCTCTCTATATATATATATAATATATATATATATATATATATATATATATATATATATATATATATATATATATATATATATATATATATATATATATATATATATATATATATATTCACCCACTTTTTTTACTTACATTACTTGGTTCTAATAACTTCCCCTATACATTCCTTGGCATTATTGTCTGTTAGATCTCATTAATATTGTGTCAAAACACAGAAGAACGAGCCCTTAGGTATACACTTCTTTCCCTTATTCATTAGCGAGGGTCTCGTACTGGCAGACTTGGTGTCATTAGGTTGTATACGAGGGAGTGTTGGTCATCTGCCCGCTTGTATTAAGTTCACGTGCTACGTGACGCCAAACAGGCTCATAAAAGGGTGTTCCACACTCGCCGCTTGGCTACAGGGGGCGCTGACTGACACTCTCACGTTTAAATTCACATATAAACCCAAAAAAGGGAATGGGCGGATCGCCGCCGTGATAGCTCAGTGGTTAGAGCATCGAAAGCGTTATTCGAAGGTCGTAGGTTCGTTTCCTGCTCAAGCAGTTTATTTTTTCACCCACTTTTCTTTCTTATTTACATTACAATGGTTCTAACAACTTCCCCTATACATTCCTTGGCATTATTGTCTGTTAGATCTCAATAATATTGTGTCAAAACACAGAAAAACGAAACGTTAGGTATACACTTCTTTCTCTTGTATATGCTCGTCTCAAGAAAGGGCCTCTCTGGTGCCATTGCGCTCAAAGGAATCTGCTCCAGCTTTCAAATAGTTTTCTTGTTCACTGCACGCATTCACGATTCATACCTGTAGTTCACCTATCTCGTCGAAGGACTCGATGAAGCGCCTGTAGTAGCCACTAGGCAGGGCAAACACCACGGAGCAGTACTGGCCCTTGAAGTAGAGCTCACCGTCAGGCGAACGCACCCGAGTGCGAAGGCACTGGTCATAGCCTCCCATTGCCACGTAAGTGCCTTCCAGGGCGTTGGGTGCGTACATAGCATTGGACATGGCCACTGCACGGGACGGCACGTTTTCAGCCACGCCGTATGGACAGGTCATACGACTCTTCATATCCTACTCCTTTGTATCTTCGTATAAATAAAAGTTGCTTCACAAAGACATTTAAACACTGAAAGATATGTATACACGAGTTGCGCGTACGTCACATCCTGGAACAACAGCGCCGAGAACCTCCACGTTTGTCAACATATGCAGCTGTCTGGAAGCGTAGTCGGGAGTTTTGCAGTGACGAGATCAGGTCTTCGGTCACACTACTAGCTTCACCATGACTATTTGTACCATATTTGAATGCTCAACAAGAAGATGAACTTCTGCTTATAAAGGCAAGGCCCTGAAAGGCCATGCGCACGCGTTAGAATATTTAGTTTTGTTGCTATTTTTACATGAGTGCGCGCGAACAATGATACATCCGAAAAGCGCCGTATCGCTTGGCTAGTGTGTAATAACCGAGAATATCCTAATAAATACATCCCTGTCTGCAGCCGTCACAGCTTTTTCGAGTTACGTCCAGGTTTACCCAGCTTAGTAGCGTGATTGCTTCGCTTCTCCAGAATGCTACCTAGATTCTCATCGATGTACAGATGACTTCGTCTTCTAGATTAACCGCGTCTCATATTGTTAGATACGTTTGACGGCGCAACGTATGTGAACGTGCCTTCTTTCATAGGAAAACCTGCGAATTTATTTAGCGATGCGAACTGTGACTGGGCACCGAGACCGCTGGGTTACAGCCATTATGACGGGACTACTGCCGCAGCACGTGTGCGTTTTCACCACTCTGAAGAGCGACGTACGAACAGGCGGGATGCAGTTGCAGCTGGCACGCCATCCACGCAGTCTAAAACATCACTCGAACTGCCTTAGACGCAGAACAAGACCTTAATGAACCATCAGTAGTAGATACTGTCTAAGACCACGCGTCTTGAGAGTGACGAAGTTTTACTTCGACCGTAACGAGAAAGAGCGTCGTAATGAACCTCGCTTAGAACAACGACAAGCTGTGATAGAAGCTAGTTTGCTGCTGGCCTCTACACTTATCCGCTGGTGAGGCAGCTGTAGCCGTTCAGGGACTTGCCGACTTTCATTGTTGCAACGTTAGATCACCTGTTGAAAGCACCAAATAGTTCACGATGTCACTGTGTGTGTAACGGAAGGCAGTAGATCGAGGTTCGGTGTAGCATCCTCATCACTTCGCAGTTTGTACGGATGGATGCCATCGCACATTTCAATATTTGCTCGGTAACGTACATGAGTCACTCCCACAACCTCTTCGAAGTACGATGGGCAAAGCGCGTGCACTTTTTTTTGTCATATCGCTTGATTGACGCCGACAAGCTCCGATGCGGCGCTAAGCGGCACACGCGGCCTAACTCAATGTGGACAAACGTGGGGGTCGCTCACTTTGCTAGCTGGTAGTGGTGTCAGATGCAACCCATGTATCGTTTAGTGCTAAAGTTCTTCGAGAAAGGCAGTCTCTAAATAATAACTGCTGAGCGTTCACGTGCGAAAACTCCGATATGATTGTCAGATGGTTTCCGTATAATTTTAACCACCTGGGATTTCGTAGCGTACACCAAAATGTTACTCGGGCTTCTGCTACTTCGCCCCAATTGAAATGCTACAGGACCGTGTGCCTGCCGAGATTGAAACAACACCGTGTTTAGGCAGCAACAAAAGTACAGCACTCACGGATTTAAATAGGACAATTTAGTGTTAAGTAACGTAAGCACTTTCGCTTCCGCCATCTTCAGTTCGGGTCATCTCGGCGGAATTCAGACTCTAACGCATAGATCATAATTGACATCCTCTTGAGAAACCTGATTTTTCGCGACATGACGTTGTTATTGCGAGTGACTGCACATACCAGTAGTTCAATATACTAAAAAAAAATATGATGTCTCGTTTGAATCCAGAAAAACTGTACGCAATCCGCAAGCTTTCGGTAAACCGCACATCTAGATTCTAAAGTAATTATCGTAACGCGTTTTTTACTGTTACAAGATTTGTCTTGAAGCCCCTTTCACACATGAGAACTCAAAGACAATGATGTCACCTTTGCAAACCAGTACGGTTTAAAGACATTTCGAGGGCTACGTATGTTGTTGATGTGAATGTTCTTTCCATGACCTCCTCTATAAACTTACGACCTGCTCACGCCACTACTCCCCCTTGTCGCCACGTTTGGTTTTGCTTGTTAATTTTTTTTAGGTCTCAAAGGTGCCGCAGCACGCCATGGCGCCACAACTCACCCTCATCACTGTAGCCGCCAAAACACTATGCTGCCTGGTGCATGCGTGCGTTGACTCTTTTTTGTGTAATTTGAAGATTAGCGCTTGTTAGGATAATTGTTCAGAACTCGGGAGCGCTAGGCTACGACATGTACAGCACCATTCACATAATGGTGTACTGCTGCGTTCCTTTCTACAACTCGAGTGGCCAGCGGTCAACTGGGATATCGTTTCACGAGTTTCCCGTCACTTACCCCCGTATTCTAGAACGTCCCTTCACTCAACGCTCCACCTTCACTTGAGAAAGCTGATGGGAGCCCCGTCTCTAGTCACGACAAGTCACTGCACATCAGCGATAATCTGCTGCGATTCTTCAGTAGCGCAGCACCATTTTCAGCCGAGTGGCGGCACAGTGTTCGATTCTGTCAAGTGAAGGGTGAAAGTCGAGTCGAGGAGCGTTTGTAAATACGGGGTTTAGATTCCAGAGCGCCAATGCTAAAGCTCGTGGAATAGAACAGGGACAGCTCAAAGTGATGTAGCCAGTTTGAACGCATAGTTTAGATTGTTACTCGCGTTTCTAAAGAACATTATTCCCTTTACGGAAACGAAGCTAGACAAAAGCTGTTGTTTTTTTTTTCTGCTCCATTGATAAAAGCTTAATGACATCGCCGGTGAGACACACACGTAAACACCAGCGGCGCTCGAACAGTGGCAATAACTACAACAAACTGCTGTAGGTAACGACATAGCGGTAATCCGCCGATTTTATCGCCCGCTTCCGTCGATTGTTAGACGTTTGACAGATGTTCACACAACTACTCCCTTCTATTGTTATTTGTGGACAGTATTATTGAAGGACGATATGCTGCAGGACATGAAAACTTACACAGGTCATGGCATGCGTTGTTAATACCGTATGCGTCTTTATTTGCGTCGCCGAAACAATGATTTCAGATAGCAACTTGTTATAATATTGCAGTCTTTCCCACGTACGAATTATTTCAGCACCTTCTAGACAGTGATTAGGTGGGGCGCACTGCGCAAAACTAACGGGGGCTGTGTCGCATATCGCTCGCGTTCGCCTGCGCTTAGACGGGGACACAAAAGCGCTCACGCAGATTGAGTTCCTGTGATGAAAATCCGGAACCAACCACCATGGTGCTTTTGTCACAGCTAGAATGCTCCTTCGATTCGTTGAATCTGTGGGTTGCTCGATCAACACGTTGTATATAAGATAAAAAAATTTCTGAAACGCGCTCACACGACACGACTGCACCACTACGGCAGCACATCGTCTGCTGTAAGGGTAAGTCGTGGCGGCACCTGGTGGAATCTCCGGTTTTTACGTGCCAATTTTTGGACCCGCACGCCTGCTTAGGGATGGTGCCGGTGAGCAGGTCGTAAGGTTCTTGAGGAGGTCGTGGTTTCTTTCCCACAGGACCCCCTTTGATTATGGGCGCTAAGCGGTTACAATGCGCATGCATTATGAGTAAAAGATACGTGCGGCACACAGTGCGTTAGCTTAAGTCTTAAGTGAATCAGAGGAGATATCAGCTCATGTTTTAAACATAAATGTACTGGCATGTCCGCCAGCAAGTTGACAATAACTATTTGTTGTTAATTGGCTTTCACTACATTTCAGTATTTTTCAGTATTTTCATTCTTGTTTCATTCGGTTTTCGCACACAAAGTCTGTCAGGAATGCTCGGCGCAAACTACCGCTGATTGTTTCAGAAGATTCGCGATTATTGTAGACCGTTCTGTTAAGATTGCGCGTAAGACATGAACACTAAAGATTTTTGTACAGCTTGCGCAAAATAAAATGTAGCGTAACTTTCATAAAAGCCCATGTATCCAGTAGCTGGCAGCTCGTTGCCACCTTCGCCATCTACGTATGAAGGGGACAACTAACATTAAAAAAAAATAAGATCTGACGTCACAATCATAAGCGGTAACGCGATGTCGTGTAGTTGCCCTACATTGCGCAAAATAGAAATATTTCTCAAGTGATGACCTTTTACGCGCCGTTATAAATAGGCAATTTTATTGCACCTTAAGGATCGCTAATTGCGCGCGCGAAAGAAAACAAAGACCAACAAGAAAGATTACTGAAGAAACGTTTGTTTTATTAGTCAAATTATGTACTTGCAATATACACCGAGAACTTGGCAGATGAAATGGTGACACAATTATTTACGAGCACGATAGCAGTACAGTTCGAAAACTCACGTTGCCCAATCGTGAAAAACCACTGCAGTGAGACAGCAGCCTTGATAATACTGCTTCGGCAGCCATCTAACACAGCCTCTCGTTTTTAAACGTGTCGCATTCACCGTCAGCAAAGCGAGGACACGCCGGCCGTGCGCCAGAAAAGGCAGTCGGCAGTCAAAGAAACGGCTATCTACTCACTCTGTGAGCTAGTTCAGCTCTGAAATGTCATGGTGGTAAACAGCACATAAGCTAATAAATAAACTATGAAATGTACCCATTAAACAACCTATCATGAGTTAGCGATACCTCATTGACCCGGTAATGCGCCGAATTAAACATAAGCTCTGATAGCAGATTGACGGATTCGCGCCACAGAACACGACACTCCCCTCTCCGAAATATGGCAATTGACTGAAAATTAAGGCAATTACCCATTTATCCAGGTGTCAAATGAACCGATGTTGGACCTAAAGTCTGCTCTCTTCGTCTTCGTCACGATCCCGTGATATCTGCTGGAGGTGCTTCCCGGCCCATGTACCGAACACCCTCCCCCC